ACACTCGTCGGGATCGTAATCGCTTCGCAATGACCCCCCACACTTGTCGTGGTCTAGCGCTCGAAATTACTCCAGAGCCGTGTTTATCGAAGAATAACGCTCAATGATAAGTACAGCAGTGTCGGATTGGTATTGAGAGACTTATTGTTGTTATTATTATCATTATTAGCACACAAAAACGGTTTGTATTTGTTTGTTTGTTTGTTTGTTTGTTTACTTGCTATCTGTCTTTCTTGTGTTTCGCTGACTGCCTGTCTAGGCTGAGATCTAGGTTAGGGCGACGCAGGGCCTGGTCGTGTGCCGCAGCAAAGGTTAGCTTTTCATACTCCCCAAACTCGTTTTTATCATAATGAATACTACACGTATTGTCCATGTCAACGTTGAAACTTTAGGTTTGTGAGCATGTCTGTACACTAAAAAATATGTCTTTCCGTGTCTCCACGAATGAACGCATTCATATTGCTGCTTTTGGTAGCGTTTCAGCTGATTCTTTCATTCCTTGTAATGTTCTGAAATCGTCTGTTTCCTTGCTAGTTATTATCTATTGTTGCGTAGGTGCGTCATCATTGTGGTCTACTATTGTGTCGTTTTTTGGTTCTATTTGATTTAGTCACTGCCAACGAGAATAACGCCAAGTTGCTATCTCGACGCATTAATATAATAATAGTAACTATTATTAGTAACTTAATATTATTATTATTATTATTATCGATGTCACTGTTAAACTTGTTCGCGACATGTACGGCGTCCGGCAACCACTTTGAATTTCTACGTATAGATTTCTTCATTATAATCCTTATCATCACCTCCTTCACATTTACCAACGGAGGTACTCTTCACGTTATTACCACCATTAGTCAGCCGTGATCTTACTCATTTTACGACTTTTTCCTAGAGTCTTTCATCATCGCGCGATGAAGTTAGCAAACTTCAGTTAGTTATCGTATCTGTTAATACGTCACGTATGGCTGTGTAATGTGTCGTGTCTCAAACACAAATAGTAAAAATCTTCTCTTTTTCGTTTTCTACCCTAAGATCCAACTATTCGCATTCAGCCTCTCGATTGGTCACAAACCTGTAACATTACGTTCACCGTCATCCTGTTACCATTACGACTTCGACCTATATTGCACTTATTTTTTTCATGGTCAGCATCTTTGTAATGCTATTCAAATTCCATATAGCCGTGTCAATTCTACCAGAGTAATCAGAAGTGTGCCATTGACATCCGTCATACAATAGGCAGCATCAGAGTAATCATAGTAATACTATACCAGTATTTATAGCGTATTTGTTGTCTGTTTCCCTACCCACAGGGTCTTCAGCATTCATGGACAGACCTTATGAGATTTACTTGCTGATCATTCCGACACAAAATTCGATGAAAAATAATTTCGTAAACTCTAGCTAATTTTTTTTTGTCTTTTTTATAGCTTTTTTTTTTTTTTTTTTTTTAGCCGGGCATAAATGGAATTTGGTAAAGAAAGCGAGTGAGCGAGAAGCTTGAGGACCGCTGTATATTTTAATTTTAAAAAAATTAAAACCAGCTTGAGGACCGCTGTATATTTTAATTTTAAAAAAATTAAAAACAGCTTGAGGTTACGCTCAGTATTGTTTTGTCTATGAATTATGGTAGACCCACTTTGAGGGAGTGGGTGTTCGATAAAAGCGGCCACAATCCGCGCACACGAATTATCTACCATAGGAAATATTGACAACGAAAGATGTAACTGACCCAGAAAAAAGCCTTGTCCATATTCCAGGTAAATGAAGAGAGGAAAGCTTTTGCTCCTGATCTTGTTGTTGTTGTTGTTGAGCGTATGTGTGGACGTGTATCTATCTGTGTGCCTGTTTGTATTTCGCTTTGTCAATTATTGGCAGGAATCAAATTGAGATTGTTGTTTCTAGTGAGCGACTGCTGGCGTATTGCTCCGTTGTTAGTTGTGTCCACATCAGTAACCCGGTAGAATTGTGCCAAGAAGTATACCAACCAGTAAAATTAGGGTGTATTCTATCATTTCAGTATCCTGAAGCCGCTCCTTGCTATCTCAGGACTTGATGATCAAACGCTATTATTTAGATTAGTATTATTACTATTAATTAGGTAGCTGGACTAGTCTGGTCTCGAGTCGACACAAACACATATAGAGCACAGTGTCTTCGCGTCTATCTTTTTCGTATTCTGTTGGATTCATATTGTTCGAGTGTGTTGGTGTATTTTTATTCAAAGTACTCCACCTTATATTACTCTATAGTCTCTCTATCGTAGAACGGTTTCAAATTTTCCATCTTGCTCTTTGTATCGATTTCCCTATAGCCTTGTTTTGTATTCTGACCAAATTGAACTAATTAGTAGCCAATCTTGGCAGCCCCTTTCTGGCCGCCCATTGCAGCTATGTGGTATTTGACAATCTATCATGTTTTTAATCATTGCCTCATTAACAGCGCAGGTCTCCTACGCACGCAGGGACTACAGAGGAAAAATTTCAATAGTAGCAGCAGAAAATAAACCTTAACACAAAACGATATTCGTAGAACCGCAACATTATAGATCGATGCTTAGAATGTAGGACAACGTTCAAAACCTAACGAAGGACGACGTTCTTGCCAACGTTACGACCCCTTGTATGTGCTTCTGTATATCTCTCTTTCACTTGATCTTCTTATCATCTTTAGCATATCGATCAATACGCGTATTTCATCAATCCATTCTCACGTTCTCTCTACTACAATTGAGGCTTGCGCTTACAATATAATAGACGTTGTTATTGTATCATTATCATCATCATTGTATCGTATTGGTATGTATCATCTTTATACACAATAGTCTCTGTACAGAACGTGCTGTCATTGAGTGTCTGTAGCACTTAGTCATTAGCATTAATAATAATGGTGTGCACGTTATATTTATCATCACCGCTTCCAATGTTTGTTGTTGTCCTGTGTTTTTTAACGATGGTAGACGGCTGATGTTTCTTTTTTAGCTAACGCAGTGTGTGATTATTTATTGTTGTTTGTTGTTGTTTGTTGCGCTAGCAAGCTCCCCTCTGAATTTGTTCCCTTGGCTCTCTCTCGAGACTTTTGTTTTGCACACAGTTATTTTCTTGTTACTGTATTGATATTTTGTGCTTAGATGGACCTTCACGTTTGATTAACGCGATGATGCTGTCATCGATAGGTAAACGATGACGTGTGCACATGAGCTTTTCAATTCGGGTTAAAGATGAGAAGGACAAACGACGTAGAACCTCGTCGCACCGCAAAAGCACGTGCTGGTTAGTCAAGGCCGTCTCATCATTTGCTTGCACCTTTTCTGAGCTGTCTACTGAAAAGGCAGCAGCCGACGTCGACTCTGAGGACGCACCAAATAGCTCGTATTAATATATACTTCTCGCGTGTTCTTGTGTGGTTCTGCCGATGTTGTATAGGTATTGCTCAGCTGGCGACATTGCGATAATCTGATTCGTTACCCTAAAAGCAACTATAGAGGTAGGACAAAATGAAGTAAGTGACTGAAGTAAATTAGTTCAGGTTTCCTCTCTGGCTTAGTGGAAGCAGCAGCAGTGCTAATGATACTTGTAACTGTTGTTGTGTTTTCCAGAGTCTGTCGCAACAGTATCATGCATACCGTGCTACTATTCTTCCGGCGAACTAACGAGGTTAGTTGTCATGGATGCGGTCTTTCCTGATGTGATGGTCGTCTTCATCGTCGTCGTCGTCGTCGTCGTCGTTGTTGTTGCTTGTCATCGTTGTTGTTGTTGAGGTAACGGTGCTTTTCGTGTCAGACGGATGGGTACTTGACAGGGACTTGCTATATGCACAGGCCATGCATACAGTCAGGTAGATCCGTGTGGCCAGTCGTGGCTTGGCTCGGCGGGTCAGAGGCGGACGGCACTTGGGCTATTGTTTGTGAAGGAAAAAAGAATTGATTCCCCCCAGATCTCGTAGTCAGATCGTCGCAGTCTGCTAGAGTCATTTCGAGTCTGGCCAGTACGAGTATGTAAGTACGCTTGCTTCGTCATGATAAGGCGGCCTGGGTGCGATGACCTACATCCCGTACATTCGAGTACTCTCCGCTGCTGCAGCTGCTGTTAACGTTGCAGAATCATTCGTTTTCTACAGCGACAAATTCGTTTTGCCTTTATCTTACTATTCCGTACTATCATGGTCTGTTCAGCATTTGCTTATTTCGCTTCCTTTCTCCTGTTTATTAGCTCTGCCTGTGTTTTTCTTTTAAAATTCTGTTTATATGTTTTTCTTTTGTGCTCTCCGCTAGATGGCGTCGTACGCGAGCTGACGGAATGCCGGTTTTTTCGAAAAGCTGTCGATGCGGCGGTCCCACCAACGTCGCGGACTCTCAGGGTTCGTATGAGTCGAAAAAGCGACAAACCACGTTGGTTCAACGTTGAACAACGTTGCTTGCCAACGTCGTTGGCTTACGTAACTGATAGTTCACTGTTGGCGTTTCCAATCCCGAGGTCTCGGTCTGCCAGGAGGGTTGAGAGGGCTCGTTCCCCGGCGGCTGCGCATGCCACCCACGCCATCACACCTCAGCATCCATCCACCAAAAACTTGTTGCTCTCGTTTATTGTTACTTGGCTTTTTGCTTCTGTTTTATCTGTAATCGTTCTTATCGTTGCTGCAATTTCTGTTGTTATTGCAATCTTTGCCTAGCTCAGTCGCTGCTAACTAGGCTTTGCGCACTCATCAAATCGTCGGCTTTCTCATCTCCTCTTTCGTCTCCCCACAACACTTTCAGCTATTTCAACTCCTTTGCCGTTCCCTCACCGTCACTTTATGGCACCATTCCTCGCAATGTCGGAAGGACAACATTCACGTCAGCCATGCTATCACCACTGCCGTCAACACGCCATATGTGTCCCTAGCATCGGGACTGGCTGTCGGGATTTAGCGGGCTGCCGTTCTGCGAGGACTGCGCCGAGTTCGGGGGCTGCGACTGGGGCGTCTGGGGATTGCACGACGTCAACGAGGGCAGAGCAACCTGCTGCTGTTGCGACTGCTGCTGCCCTGTTTGGGTATTCTGGTTATTCTGAGCTTGTTGCTGCTGTTGTTGTTGTTGTTGTTGCAGGCTCTGCTGCAGGCTTTGCTGGTGGGTTGGCTGTTGTGTTTGGTGGGCTAGTGTATCGTGGGGGTTGAAAAATGGAGGCCCGCCGGGGTACAGCGGGGGTCAGTGGGCAGCTAATGACTGGTGCGGGCCCCCTAGCGAGTGCAGATGGCTCTGATGATGGGCCATCGCCATTGCCGCATGTGCTGCGGCTGCACTATGAGCGCTGTGCGTTGGCAGACCCCCGGCGAGGCTACTCGACAGGCCGTGGGGTCCTCCGTGGTGGTGGGGACTATGGTGTGGGGGATGCCCGTGCGGGCTGTGACTGTGATGATGGGTCGGTGGTGGCGAGGGGTGGTTGAGATGGTGGTGCTGCATCGGCAGGTGGTGGTCGGAGCTGGCCGGCGAGCAGGGGGAAGTTGACATAAGCAAATGGTCAGGAGTACCCGTAGAACCGGGACCACCGTTAATAGGAGGCGTCATACGCTTCTCCTTTTGACGACGATTGCAGAACCACACTCTAACCACCTCCTTCTCCAACTGCAGGCTGTCGGCCAGACTCGCAATCTCCTGGGCAGACGGCTTGGGCTGCTTGTGGAAATGCGACTCGAGGGCGCCCTTCACCGAGACCTCGATGCTTGTCCTTTTCTTCCGCTTGCGACCCTGTGCGGCGATCTTGTCGATGCTGGTTGGGGATCCCGTCGTGCTGTCCGCCTCCTCGAGCCACTTGGCCAGCAGAGGTTTAAGCTTGCACATGTTCTTGAAGCTCAACTGCAGCGCCTCGAAGCGGCATATCGTTGTCTGACTGAACACGTTACCGTACAGCGTGCCGAGAGCTAAACCGACATCGGCCTGCGTGAAGCCTAGCTTGATTCGGCGCTGTTTGAACTGCTTCGCAAACTGTTCCAGGTCGTCCGAACTAGGAGCTTCTTCTTCGCCGCTCTCAGGACCTCGGGGGTCACCCAGAAGTCTTGAATGGAGCGGGGATAGCTCGTTGTGAATGCTCGTCGGTGTCGGCGAAGACAACGAGCCCCCGCTCAGCTGTGAAGTCACCTGGTCGGAATGAGAAGGGACCGATTCGCGACCGCTCATATGGCCTACGTGGCCGAGCATGCCGTACACGCCGCCCATACCGCCAACGCCCATGCTCCCGACTCCAACGCCGACTCCGACACCAACCGCCTGCTGATGCTGCTGGTGAAATGTCGGCGGGGGCGAATGGCCTGCGGCAGCAGCGGCGGCCATGTGCCAACCAGCCATTGCTTGGGCCTGGGCTTGCGCCTGAACCTGTTGACGCTGATGAGCACTGAGCGCGCCCGGCATATCCATTGTTGGCTGGCCTCCGCCAGCTGTGGGTGGCTTGATGTCCTGGATGGCCGGCGCCCACATCGACTCGACGGCCCATTGGTGGTGTTGTTGGGTGGCGGGCATATATTTCATTTCAGGCGGTTCTCGTCCATAGCCCCCGGGCGCCTGTGTCATACTGCTGAAGTGCGAGAGGCTGGACACGGCGCTGGTGGCCAGATACGGGTTGGAGCCAGCGGCCATCTCGCCGCCACCACCGCCACCCCCACCGGCCAGTTCACCGGCGGTCCCGTCGGCGTCGCGCTCCGTCTTCACTTCGACGCCGCTGCTCTTCCACCACTCCAACTCCAACGTGGCGCCGAATCGTGGGGCTTAGTTCGCGAGGCACCTTGCTCACACCAACACGACGACGACCGGCGTCGCGGCAGACGGCTTTGCGGCCGCGCAACGTTGGCTGGACACCAACACACAATGTTTCCGTAGGATCACTTGCGTCAGGTTCGCTTTGATGAGATTGGGTTTTTTTCAATTAGGTTCGTGCCGTCTACTTGCGACGGGCAAAATGACGGCGTCCCGTTCAATACGCAATGCGCACTGATACAGATGTTCGTAGGTTTCTGTTTTCTACCACAACAACAACGACGCACTACGTGTCCGTGTACGAGGGCGAAGATCGAGTAGATCGCATACACCGATCAACTTTACACTTACTTAGTTTCATTCACCTTTTTTGTTGTTGTCGTTGCCGAAGTTGATGCCGCTGCTGATGTTGCCGTTGTTATAGTAATGGTCTCTGTACACTGCACAGGTAATAAGCACACACACATACATACGCACGATTTTTTTCGTATTACTAGTATAATAATAATAATAGTAATTATTATTATTATTATGAATGAGACTATTTTGAATTTAGACGTCGTTTTTCCACCGCACACACTTCTTTCTTTTTTTATCGTTGCACGAGACAACAATGATGACGCGACCAAAACAAGGCTTTGAGAAATATCTATATGTCACACACTCCGTACGATGGGCATACGTTGGCTCGAACTGTCCGTAATTGGGTTCACTAACACCATCAACGATAGCGGAGTACGGCAGTGATGTCGAAAAAGATGATGGTCAAGTATCGCGGTAGTCATTACACCGGAGTACCCTTGCTAACATTTGTACACATATATATGGGGAGATAGAGAGAGAGAGAGAGAGAGAGAGAGGGAGGGAGAGAGAGAGAGAGAGAGAGAGCGATATGAATGCGCGCACTATATTTCGTATTTATCTCAGTGGTTTCTCGATCTCACCCGACTCTCACTTAAACAATAAATCACGACACACTTAGAATTCACCTGCTATTGTTGCATTTTGAAAATTTTAAAGATCAGATGACGCAAATCACAATTAGGTAGATTATCAATCAGGTCGTCCGATTACCTGCCGGATTGATCCACAATTCAGAAGTGGGCTATCGTAATGATCAATGGGTTGTATTGATTGAGCTCGTCGACATTCACCACAACGCACTGATTTTGTAGTAGTGGTGAACGCTGTAATTGTAGTAGCTCTCGTTGCTCGAACCTGGTCATCACACCGAAGGTACGGATATCAGATGGGCTCCCGGATCAAGAAATGGTCACTCACTTATAGTTGCTGTCATTTCCCTTTTAGATTTCTATTTATTACGTTTTTCTCATTTGTTTGTTATCAAAACCGACTTGCAGGAGTCTCGTATAGTCTTTTCGTTGCTGTTCCTTTCTTCTGAATTTTTTTACCTTCACGCGTTTCAGTTTTGTCGACTCTCCCAACGTCGTCAGCAAACAACAACGGTTTGTTTGCTGTTGTGTTGTCAGGACGTAGTTGGGTACGAGACGATGGCCTGATTGATAGAAACTGTGAGTCCACCGCGCGACGAACACGACTACCACGATCAGCGCCCAGACATCACTATCTTCCGCGAACACCTTCTCTGTAACTCGTCAGCCAGGCGCCGCCAGAGGGAGCTATCGGCGCGCGGCCAGCGATTGGCGTTTCGGCGGGTGACGTCAGCTAAAGGCGGTCCGCCGGGCGGAGCCTGGGAGAGCGAGCTCTTGTCCGCCCGCTCACCCGGAGCAATGGAGGAACTCGCTGATCTAACGCTCCTCGAGCGAAGAAGCAACGCCAGCAACGACGAGAGCTAGCCTTCGTTCATTCGCTCGCTTCCTCGCTAACTCGCGCTCTTTCGGCGGTTGTTCGACCGCCAGCAGCAAACTGTTCGTTCGTCGACAGCAGCAGCAGCAGCAGCTTCGAACCTGGAACTGCCGCAGACTCGAAAGAACCTCCCGCTGTTGTCCTACACTAGCCTACTAGGCACCCAGTCAGCGTGCCAGCCAACCTAGCTGCTAGCCAAACCTTACTCACTCGCCTGCCTGCTCTACCGCTAGTAATACTACTACGACAACTCGCAGCGGCGGCGGCAGCAGCAGCAGCAGCAGAAGTCTGACGGCTCACTCCCCACTCAACTCGCCATACACTGTCCAACGGTGGCGTGTTATAGCTACCTATGTATTAAACCACACTAGACGACCGGTCGGCCTAACTGTTACCGGCGCGGTACGGCAACTCTGCAGCGGCCATCTAGCAGGCCAGTCGCCGCTGCCATCATCAGCACCGCCGGTTGCTGCTTAGGCTGCAAGCAGCGTGGCTATTTGTGTATTTGTGTGGACGGTGGCCTGCTGTTATCGAGGGCTGAAGTCTGCGGAGGCAACAAGAGCAGACCAAGAGTCCGCAGCGCCCGACAGGCTCTTCTGTACAACAGACTGATGCAGCACTGCCACCGCCACTCCTATTACACTAGTGGCAGCAATGGTGGCTTTCGATGTAGTAATATAAGTGAGGGTAGTAGGGTCGGAGTCGCGGGCCTTGAAGTCGGCAGGCCGTTCAATCGCTGCTTCGCAGCAGAGAATTGTGCTCACAGACAAACACTGACTTATACACGCGCACATTACTGCAAGCTCGCTAGCCCAGATACTCACAGAAGCAGCTTCGAGGCCAGTCTCGTAGACAAACGTCTCGTTCTCTATATGTACATATATATGTGTGTGTACGAACCGTATGAGCTTGTGGACCCAGACGCAGTGTAGAAGGGTGCAAAGCCATAAGAATAGCATATGATGCTGGCTAATAGCCGCAGCGGTTCCGCTAGCACTGGCAAAACTAGGTCCAAGCGTCGGAGTAAGGGAATTCTGGCGTAATATCAAGAAAAGCTGTACTATCTAATCGTAGTAATAGAAGTAAACAAGCATCGGACTTTTAGGCCCGACAGCAATGGCCATTGGGAGTTTTAGCTCGCTTCCTTTGGATGTGCTAGAGTAAGAGAAGCTTAGTCAAAGACTATAGCTATTCGCTTACCGGCAGCTCTAATAGCTACAGCGGTGAAACACGAATCGAGCTCAGTCGACTACCATAAAGAGAATCCGGATCCTAGAAAATTATGAACTCCATGCTCAAAAAGCCGGTACAAGATACGATGGTTCCTACACGATCCGGAACCAGCGAAAATTGCCAAATCTGCAGCTATTGGTGCCGGCCAGGACAGACGTACACACGATAGAGCAGCTAGTTAGCATTACACATAACAAACGCTGACAAGACAGCATGCAAAGAAGTTTTTTCAGCTTCTGAATCATCAGCTGAAAAATCAGTCAACGAACCAGATCCGCCGATGTAAAGGTATTATCCGTCATCGTTTTCACCGAACGAAGAAAGGAACCACGAACTAACTGTTTTTTTTCTTTTGTTTCATATTTGTATTATTACATGCTAAATGCAAGGCAACTTAGATTTTAGATAGCTACCTTCATTTGATCGACATAAAGTTGTGTGTACACTTGTAACAAACTAAAGTAAAATAACTTGCTCTAAAAAAATTCTATAGAGATAACTTGTACAATCGTCCACTGAACGACAAGCTTTTCTGTAGGATATACAAGTCACGCCTAACAAATACGTTTTACTCATATAACAGTAGAGTTATTCAGTAGATCCCTAGTCAAAAGCTATTAATCTGACGTGTGATTTTTTATGCAAACTGAAAAGATAAGCCATTGCTTAGCACTCTTTCTAGCAACATAAGATGTACCGATTTTTTTTTTCTAAATTGTCTTTAATAACATTTCAGAAGCTTTACTTGTTTCGTGCTGGTCTAACGAAACCATTTTCTCTTGACCTCCCTGCTTAATATAAGCTAAAGTCATTCACTGTCTTTTACAAACGTAGCTGCCATCTGCAGAACTGAGGACAACCGTAATGTGCTGATCATAGCAGCCTGATCTGCTGAAAATACTGAAAAAGCCGTTTTTCACGTCGGACAAAAGCTTTGATGGCTACCAACGGAATTCTGGTCTGGCAAGTATCCGGCCACATATCATATGCCGCAGGGGGGTAAGGCCGCACAGGCCTTAGGGGTGCACAAAGGAAAAAATTAAGCCGCTGCATCCAATCGAGCAACGAAGTACCAATGCATCTCCATTCCCCAGCAAAGGTCTCGGATTACCCTATGTTCTCGATGGCTGACGCTTATTGGGCTGTCACCCCTGATGGTAATAGTAACACCAGTGGTAGCATTAGTCCCAGTGGGGGCAGACATATCGACTTCAATGTGAGGGTCCTATCTGCTGATTGCTGTTTCTATGACTGCTGTGGCTTCTGCTGTTTTTGCTGGACCTGTAGTTTACTTCTGTGCGTTTGTGTCTGTATATATCTTTGTGTGCGTGTGTGTGTGTGTCTGTGACGGTCGGCGACTAGCGCGATAACGACAATGAGACCTCCCGGCGTCTAGCGGCAACAACTATGACGCTAATATCGACAACGACCATCGCCGTAACGATGGGGATCGTCCCAGTCTGTTTGTAGTCTGATGGCCTGGTTGTCTCCATGGTCAGCCGACGATTCATGGATGCTCGATCGTGTGGACTAACAACGATGGCAACAGCGACTACAGCATCAACAGTAGCCCGCTTGCCCGGATGAACTGTTATCCTTATCGTGGCTTTGATATGCAAATGCTGCTCTATGGACTTGCGAGGCAGGCCAGCCGCCTGGCCTGTGTCACTTCGGCGCCATCACAGACGCATCGCTTCAGCAGCAGCAGCAGCAAATTGCTCTCTTGCGTTGAGAGCGAACGCAAGCGATGCGATGATCGTAGCTTTGACGCTACTGTCCAGAGCAATAGCGGCAACCAACAATGACGGGAGCATCCAGAGCCCACCGTCACTGCAGCTGGTGACGTCGTTGTTGTTGTATCCAACTGTTATAGTTGTCCTTGTCGTCGTTATTGTTACTATTGCTTATGATGCGGCTGTCAGATGCTGCTGCCAATTCCTGCACCTTTGCCTTTACTACGGGACAGAAACAACTGCGAGAGAAAGTCAGTCTTTCGGTGACTCTCGGATCGCTTGTAGGGTACGCTACGGTCGAGACGCGACCACCTAAACAAGGGCTGGCTTCTCACCCGGCGGTTCTCAACGGTGCCGAGGACAAAGAACGGTGAGCACTAAGCGAGAAGTACTCGATGGATGGGTAACCCCAATGGCCCAAGCCCCGATTCTAATCTCCTCTAACGCGAATATAGACAAGACAGAGTGACGGCAACACAAGCAGGTCTTCACGTTGTCCACCGTTCGACCGAGTGTGAAGGCGGTGCGTCAAGTCACAGAAGCCGGATAAGTATTATCTTGGTGTATATGATAAAGTCCAAACGCGCCAAATCGCCGAAGCATCTGTTCATTCGTCAAGTGTTCGTTGAATGGATGGAGAATAATTTCACTATATTATGATTGTCATCACCGTTCTCTCGACAAAAACTTCTGCTGCATTTGGACATTAGTTCATAGATATCCTCTCGATAGGACTAACTACATGAAGCTTTGGATATCCACTACGACTACAGATAAAAGCCTTAAGGACTAACTAGAGTAAACAAGTATATGAAATAGATACATTAGTTAAGTTGATCGAAACGTAACCCGACTATATCGAAATAAATATATCTTGGAAGATAATTAAAAACTGATAAGATATAATGATGTAATTACTAATTTTTTGCATCAACTGTACCAGACACTTCAATTTGTATTATTCATCATTATTTAGATGGCAACTATATTTCCGATATGATATTGCTATAGATGCTAGGCTAGCACCATTAATTTGCAGGGTAATAAAAGTCAATTTCCAAAAAAGAGACGCATTATCAGGCCTTTGTCCTACTTTTATATTAGATTGGCCTAAAGCCTTTTGAAGATCCCTAGGCACTCAGCGTGTTCACAACACTCCATAGAAATAACAACTGATAATTGCCACCAATAGATTGCCTTGTATACCCACACTGAAAGACATAAAGGAGGTAGAGAAGTTATGAAAAATTCTACTCTCATTTCGAACTTTTAATATCAAAATTGCAAAACTTCAGAAACTCATACTGGTGTCGAAGCAAGAATGGTCGATATGTTATTTATAAGCGGTATTTTCTCATTTATTTTATTTGTAAGTATTTTATCAGCTTTTTTCTCATTGGAGGTGCCAACTTGATAGCTATGACTAGTTGGCTGAATATACTCCGTCTCACGCTGAATGGCTTGAGGCAGTTTGATTAAGAGATTAGTTTGGAAAGGGATGTGTATATCAAAGTTAAGGAAACGCAGGTTTGATTTAAGTTTGTTTTACTTAGTGACAAAATTAATTATCATTTATGGCACAGCTCAACTAATCACAACAAGGGAATATACTAATGAAATAATGTTTCGGTTTGTCCTAGTTAGGACGTAGGCTTAGCGAAGCCTGGCTTTGCAATGGTTGACACTACGGCCCAAGTGAAACAGTGGGCTCTCTTTAAGCAGGTCAAGCAACTCTGTGAAGACTAAGAACCAGAA